GATTCTGTGCCTGTGGAGGGACTTTACAGGAGGCAAGTCCCTGCAAAAGGGTAGTAGTAGCTGGGAAAACAGACTCCTGAGAACAAAAAGATCTGCTAGAATGGGTACAACTTGTACAGTCTACAGGAGATTGTACTGTTTTAACAGCTGCCATTTATTTTTTTTCCTTTTCACCTAGGCACTTTTCCAAAGCCTGATGACTTCAGTGAGTTTTGAAACTTGAAAACTTTTCCATTTATCATGCCGTATAATGCAAAGGCGGTGTATTTCTAAGGCCTGGGCTTTTGAAATCTTTTTTCTGAATCTTTACAGCTCTAACTGGTTTGCTTCTGTGAAAAGTCCTCTTGGGACTTTTCCCCAATTTTGTGTTTATTCATATTCATGAAAGAGAAGGAGCCTCCTAATGCAAGTCTTCTCCAGTGGTGGCAGGAGAAAATATTATTTGGGGCTGGGGGCGGGGGGCCAGTGCAGGGCCGTTGAGGGGCCAGCATGCAGCAGGTGTGCTGGGTATGGTGCTGTGGTGGCAGGGCATGGTGGTGGTACTGGCACAGTGGAGCCACATTTGGGAGTACTAAGCCCTGTTAGCCCTGGCCTTCCACCACCCATGGCCTACTCAAGCCTAAGCACATGAAAGGTATCCATCACTTTGTAGTTGAGTAGCCTATCTAAAGGTACTTTCTAGTTCTTACTTTTTTAAACTTAAATTGGCTTTGCACTGTTTCAACTAAGACACTGCAAATTGATGTATGGATCTTTTTATTGTTGTTTAAACCATATTTATTCCAGTTTAATTTAAATGGTTTCCTAGATCAATTAAATTGAAAGAAGATATTTTGGCCAGGGACACTAGTAACACATAAACTGGTATAAGTGATTGGAAACTAGTTTAAACCTGTAACAGAACAGAAGTTCAGTGCATGCAGGCCAATTGCAAAATGGTGAGACCTGGTTTAAGATTGGAACAATCTAGTATCAGACTTAATCAATTTAGGTTACAAGAGTTTATCAAACTTCTGTTCCAGATTCTCACCCAACTCGAGTTATCTCACAGTCCCTTAGCATCCCAGGATGCTTTCCAGCTCCCTGCTAACCCTGCCTCGCAGGGCAGGTGGGTTAGTGAGCCAGCTGTTCCTACCCCCAGGCTGTCACAGACCAGAGGCAGCAAAGCCTCTGCTCCTCAGCCCAGCTGGTAGGGCACACGGGGGCCAGCAAGGGGGGAACACTGCAATATTCCCTGTAAGGCATGGGTGGGCAAAATGAGGCCCGCAGGCTAGATGCAGCCGCCATTCTATCCAGCCCACAGGGCCCCTAAAAAATTTAGAAAATTAATATTTATCTGACCCTGGCTGCCTGTCACGCGGTCCTCAATGACTTGCCAAAACTCAGTAAGCAGCCCTCCACCTGAAATAATTGCTCACTCCTGCTCTAAGGTGTAAAGGTCCGTGTGTGCGCCGCTTCAGTCTGTTCCCAAATGGTCCGGTCCATTTAACTCAGAAGATGCAGTAAAGGGATGGGTCTGTATGCAATGAATATAAAGATGATCCTTTACAGAGGCTGCAGGGAAAATATTGGCCTTCCTAGAATGATAGAAAAAGCAACACTGGCCTGGGGAAGATCACAGCCTCTTCCCAAGCTGTGGCAGGCCCCTCGATGAGACTGAAGATTGCTGAGTGTACCATAGCATGCGAACAGCCTCCCATTCCCACAGTAAAGGACTCCACTTTATATAGGACCCTTGCTAAGAATTTATGATCATGTGGGTGCACTGAGGGAGAGACTTCAGGATGTCAGTCCTTTTCAGAGCTTGTTTTATGTCTTCTCTAATTACGTTCCAATATCAAGACATCACTGAGATGTCACATCACATCGGTGTTGTGCTATATCAGAAAGTGCCATATATTTCCTTTTGTCCATTTTAAAGAGGTGGTCGCACTCTGCCCCGGACCCCGCCCCTGCTTGAGGCAAGATTTTTTACTGTGTGCAGCCACATGCATGCAGCTCAGAGGGAACCTTGCAACAGACCTGGGGTCTGCACAACATTGGAGGCCCCCACAGCAAGGATTCCTTATTCTGCAACGCAGCTCAGTGGTCGTCTCAGCCCCATCCCTGTACCAGACCAGGCCTCTCGGCTACAGTCAATGGTGGGGGGAGTGGGGGAGAACAGACACCCACACAGCTGAGAGACTGGGGCTCAGACCATCATTGAGCCAGCCTGCAGGGTTGGGGGCAGGCTGTGTTGTACAGCCCCCTGAAGTATGTAGACCCCATCTAGAAGGAGCCATGGCCAGATCAAGGGGGCTCTGTTTTCCACCCTTGCCTGCTGCCCCCTGCCCCCCACCCCCCTGGCTGCCATGCCACCCAGCTAGGGTGGGGTATAGGGGAGGATCTGGTGACTGCAGGGCGTTGTGGGGCATGTGCCTGAGAGCCAGTTGGGGATGGGCCTGCTCAGCTGTCCTTGGCTGGTCTGCATGCTGGAAGATGAGAGATGTACAGGGCACCCTGAGCCTTCTGGCTTGGCCAGTGCAGGCATTTGTCTGCTTCCTGCTTCCCCTTTCCCCTCTCCTGGGGACGGTGAGTTCCCTTTGCTTTTGATTGTCTTTGTAGCTTAGAGAAACTCATGAAGGTTGGATCAGGGTTTTTGCATTGGTCTGTACTTAGTCTTTGGAATAAGTTTCTAAGTAAGGGGGTTTCATTAAATCAATTTAAAATAACATCATGAGTTAAGATGGTGTCACTTTCTTGCCTAGAGCAGGCTTAAGAGGATATTTCAGGTTGTTAGTTTTTTTTTATGTAATTAGACAAGATTACAGTGGAAGTTTCCTACTTGCTTCTACTTGTTTCTGAAACGTCACATAAAATGAAACAAACAAGCTTCTGGATTTAAGTCCCTTGCTCCACTTCCTCTTGATGTTTCTTAAAATTGCAAAATGGAGCAATGTTTTCTTTGTTTTAGCTTAATAAAGGAATTCTGAGACTTTTTAAACTCAGGCTTAAAAATTGGGTGGCATTTTCAAAGAAGCATAAAGGCAAGTTAGTTTCTTGTATTACTGTATTATGTAACTGGAGGGAGGCTTTTTGTTCTAATTTAATAAATGGAAAAGTACTACTACAGCGCTTAAAGTTTACCTGGTACCAAAAAACAGAATAAAGGGAAAGGGGGGCAGATTCCTCGTACCAAACACATTTGTCCAATCCTGCAAAAAAAGTGGGTCAACCAACTAACCACGTTAGCAAACTAACATCCCAACTGCCTGTGAAAACGAATGTGCTTTGTTTCATATCCTGGAGGTAGTCTGATTCAAGCTATTTCATACTGGAGAGGACAGTAAGTGCCAAAATCTAGGTTCCTTCATGTTTAGAGCTCAAAAATTATCTTAAAATAGATTACATGAGACTTTTGAAATGTCAGCAATCCCCAGCTCAGTAAAAAGGCACTCTAGCTTAAGTGTGCCACTGATGAGAACCAAACCCCTTCAGATGCCATCTTGGCCTTGTGCCCTGCAGTACAAATTTTCTGCCTTAAACATTGCTGTGGACTTTATGTAACTTGAAAGCTGTGAGATGAACTTAATGCAGGGTGAGCACTAGCTTCCATTAAGCAAGGTGATAGTTTTACCAACTTCCTCACTTACTGCAGTCCTGATTAACGTAAGTAAAGTCACAGCAAGGTGAGGTTCCTCAGCTCTTTGTATAGTCGTGGAATTCTGAACAGACTTTGGCTTTAGAAGATGCTGCCACTACCAAAATGGTTAATCTAAAACTACTAGCAGGTGGACTAGGACAATCGGATAGAAGGAAACTGTTAGGTACCAGGCAGCGCAGTTCTTTGGATTAAATCTGAAAGAACTGTGAATTATTTTCTTGAAGATTTGGCTTTCAAGCCAGAGCATTTCCTCTTGGCCATTGTAACCTTTTTCCACTAAAAAAAAAAAGAAAAAAAAAGAAAGGTAACTAAAATATTCACCTTGGCTTATTGAGGTACTTCTTTCTCTCCTAATTTTAACAGCAAGATTTAGATACTGAACTTCTACACTCCAATTAACATGACAGAGCAAAGAAATTTAGTTTTGGTTTCCAACCCCCTCTGCTTGCCTCATCTGTGCAATCATCCTACCTTGATATCTAACTAGAGGAACATGAAAGCTGAATGCACAAATAGAGAGCTCAAGATCTAGCCTCTTGGCTATGATGATTCAGTAATTTATACTGAAACCTGGCAATATTCCCAGCCTTCGCTTCTATGCAGATGACCTATAAGGGGAATGATAAATTCACTTTGAGTGGCTTTTGCAACAGTTCAAAGTTGGCCCAGGTGCGCCTCATGTGAAGGACACATTGGGCAAAATCCAAAAGGATAGGAGATCATACTGTCTTAAAGTGAAAAAGAGAGCATGGAGTAAATGTGATTAACTAATCTGGAGGTAACTTTCTGGGGAGTTCCAGGTTGTGGGCAGGGCTTTGGCAGCTATTGCTTTATTTATTCTACCTATCGCACAGTTCAATTTTTCAGCTACTGAGAGCCTTGGCAAACAAGCTGCTATCCAGTTCCAGAGTGATCTCTGCTATGTCCTGAGCTGCATGCTACAAAAGGGTGATTGTCAACCTTGTTAGACTTGAGGCACAGTTCAGAAAATGCCAGCTCTTAGCTTTTGCTCATATTTTTTACCATAGAAAAGTAATGGAGCAGTTCCTTGGTTGCTAAAGACTCAGACCACAGCAGGTCAGATGGCTATTAACACTATGGATTCCTATTTGCAGTCTCTGGGTGAGTTGCTGCATACAAGGGCATGTGTTTGTCACAGCAAAAATAGCAGCAGCACAAATATATGCTGCTACTTTTTGCCATTGTGCACACCCTTGTACATGACTTTTGGTCTGAGGCAAAATGCCCTACTTTGGGGAAATGGCTATGCACTGAAGGAGCTGGGGTAGAGCTAGAAGAGGGGTGATGCTCTGCCAGCAGCCAAAGTATCTTCCTGGAGGACTGAACCTCCATGTCTGCCAGTGCGTGCTCCTGTGGCATGCGCCACGCCACTCTTTTGCGAGGTTTTTTTGCTATTGGGATTTCCCGGTAGCAAATTTTGGCCTTGCATTGCAAATATGCAGTGCAGGGCATGTTTTAATGTGCTGGGCATGAAGTTTGTTGTGCCACAAAGAGGTTTGCGGTGCCACAAACTACATGTACTTGCACGTCTGGGTCCAGCCTGTAGGTTTTTCTTGTGAACCATACGTAGATGTTTGGACACCTAACAATGCTAATATTGGCTGGCACCCCAGAGTTCATGGCAACCTAACTCAGAATCACTGCTATAGAATGTAACCAGCTGACAGGTCAACTCCAGATTGGGGATTGAATCTTCATGTATACTATAGCAGAGTTTGGCGCATCTGTGAGATGAATGGGTTTGTGCTCCTATGCTGTCCTTTCCCACAACCCCAGAAGCTGGTTTAACTTTTGATATAATCTACTGAAGTTTCAAGTCTAAATTTGCTCTGGTTTTCAGTAGCCTTGTAAAGCGGTGTTATGCTAAGCTGTGAGGGTACCCAGCTGGCATAATTTGTTCGAACTTCTGTTCTTCCTTAGTCTGCTCTGAACATAGCCAATTATATGGAGTAAGTGGAGGTGCTTGCTGGACTTCCCCATGCTCTTGGAATTTCCAGTTACTTAATTGTGGTCCAAACTGTCTGCACCATATTTTGTCTCTAAAAGGTCACTCATAAGGGAGACCATTTCAGACAACAGTGTGGTAAAGCGGATGTTTAACTGAAAAGGAATAACAAAGTAAGCAGTAAATTATATTCTGCACAGATTTCAAAGCTATTACAGAGCCTATCACATGCACTGACTTTTTGGGGGGGGGGGGGG